GCTAACCAACAACCCCTTCGACCCAAAGGGTAGAAAAAGAAGTCAACCAGAAGAACCTCGTCCGAGTGTAGATTTCGTGGGACACTAATGCAAGCAAAGCCGGCACGCGGCCACTAATTTCTACTCTAATTCTAAGTGCACTCAAGCCCAGGTCCGACTTATCTCTCAATCATAGAATCACCCGTCACACCCCAATACAGCAATAATAACAATAATATAATGCTGAAAGTAAATGACAGAAAAAGTAAATCCATACAAAATCCTCGACGGGAAAACAAGCGCTAGGATTGACTCGTTTAAGGGACGTTGGATCCCAAATGCATAAGGAACTATCGCAGTCCTTAGCAGCCAGGGGACGCCTGGATCCCCAGCAGAGTCGCCAGCTGTCGCTACTGCGAAAATCGGCACCGGCAATACAGAAGAGTCGCCACCGTGCGTTATTTATCCCAACAGAGGGAAAGGAAACGCTCAGAGTAAACCTACCGCAAAGACGGGAAAGGAATGGTCATCGCAACCAAATCCTGGATTCGGGAGTCGGTTACGCAAGGGGAAGGTATTAGCACCCCTCACGTCTGTCGTACTCGACGGGATCCACGCTTGTTTTCTGGTATGGATTGTTATTCTATCTACTCTACAGGTCTGGGGTTAAAAGAAAATAAAATGACTCGGCAAAGTATCGCACTTTATGCCTACGTATTCCCGTCTGAAACGAGAAATCAGAGTCAACGTAGTTCGCCTACCTACGGGAAAGGAAGGGAAGGTTGCTCGCTAGGATATCACATCCTATGCCTACGTACTTTCATACAGCATGAAGGATCAGAGCAAACGTAGTTCGAGCCACGTACGACACAAGTCTGTCTTGATTGTTTTTATCTCCTTCTGAAAAAGGGTTTTTCTGATTACCGGTCCAAGCGGACAAAAATGACGTTTTGATGAGTTCACATTCTTTTACGGAAGAAGTGTCTTTTATTGGGTTTGAAATCTTATTGTGTTTTTCTGTTTGTTTTTGAGAAAGAAGAGAAAGACTCTAACCTATGGTTGAAAAGGGAATCACACTAACCTAATGTTATCATGCATGGGTTAAGACCTAGTGTCTATCATGCTCCTCTCTTGCACAGAGAGAAACAGAGATCCTAAGGGAATAGACGGGAACAGAAACAATAACAGATATACAATAAAGCAATAAAATGCATGGATGCAACAATACAAGCGAGGCAAGGGAGTCCCACTCAACCTCAAACTTAGAAAGCAACAGGCAAAAGTGAACAGGATTCACTTTCAACCTAACAGGTTAAACAGCAAGCAATACAGTCCGGGAAATTCAAACAATACATCAAAAATTAAAACAGCAAAAATAAACAGCAAAAGCAGCCTTCATCAACATCTGTCTTCAAGTCATCATCAACTATCTTCAAGCTTCCAGCAAGCATCAGTCTTCATCTTCAAGCCTTCAAACAAGGTCTTTATCATCAGTCTTCAATCTGCAATGGCCTTTCTTCAAGTCTCAATCTCCAAGATGAATATCAGTCAACAAGATGAAATGGATGTTAAACAGTCAATTGCCTACCAAGGGTGGCTCACTGACTGTTAACATGATACAGACAATTTTCTCTCAAAAGTTCTATCTTTTAAATACATTCACTAATCCTTCCAAAGGAAGGAGGTGGATATTTAAAAGAGACTTTGAATCATAGAGAAAGGATGGAGGCAAACAAGACCTTCCATGTTTGTGAATCAAGTTTTCTACTCTAGAGCTCTGCCTAGTTCCTAACTCCTATAGCCTTCAACAGCTGCTAGCAAAATGCTCCTCATCCACTCTGGAAGTGGGTCTTCAATCTCTTTGATCTCCAATGGCCTTCATTATCACAGTCTTCAGCTCAACCCCCAAGCCCCAAGCAAGCCCAATACCCCACACAGACAAATAATAACCCTAGAGAGGGCACACCACACAGTCAAGCAAGTACAAGCAGTATACTAATAGTAATATTAGAATAGGGGAAACCTAGTAATTTCTAAGGGGTCTATTATCTACCCATAATCCCTATAGTCCCATACCCCAAAGATTCAATCTATAACTCCTAAAAGAAATGATTTACTACACCTATGTTATACCTAAACCCTAGTTTTGATTCTCCTAATCACACCTAAACAAATCACCTAAAATTAAATCCTAAAGTTATGAATTAAATCCTATGAGTAAGCTAAAGTTCTAAGTTAATCACCCTAAAAAAGAATGGATCAAAAATGTAAAAGCATCTAACCAAACTAAAATCAACAATATCATGCATCAAATTAAACCACTTAAAAAGCTATTTAAAAGAAAAATATTCTAAAAATACTAAAACAAAATAAAGTTGGAATTTTATTATTTCTTAATTTTCTTAACAGAAATATGAACCTAATGCAAAAACAACCACTAAAAGATAAGCATTTTTCATTTACTTATGAATTTTTGAAGAATTAAAAAAAATGAAAGAAATTAATATGGATTAAATGAGATTAGGGGGTGCAGTAAGTATTAATTTCAGTTAAAACAATATGATGGGCCCAGACTGGGGGGCGCGCATAGCAAAGCGCGTCTGGGCCCAAGTGGTCAGAAAACACAAGAAAAATAAAAAAAACTCAAAGCGGTGCAAATAGGAATTAATTCAGTTATAATTGGGATTGGGCCTGCGTCGAGGGGGTGTGCATAGCATTGGATTGTAAAGCCCAGTCTGAGGGATTAAATGAAACGCAGCGTTCTGCTTCATAACATTTCCCTCCGTTTTCCAATTGAATTAAGGCCGTTAGATCAGATTGAGAGTCAAAGTCTCCATGGTCATCCAACGGTGTCCCTTCATCGTCTTCCTCATGAAACCCTAAGTTCAGAAAAACCTATCCATGCATGAATCTTCCACCACTCTGTTCTCCCTCGATTCTCCATGAAACTCCATCATTCTAAAACCAAAAATGCTCTGCATCTCTCCCTCTACACAACCATGGTAATATCTTTCTCTAAAACTCACTCAAACGTCAAACCCGATAGGTAGAACACCCTGGTTCCACCACTTTGCACTGAGATCAAACATTCCAATTCTTGCCAACTCTTACCCTAACATAATCTACACGCCATGCTGATCATCCTGAGCTATATACCTAAGATTATCGTGCCATATCCTAGATGTTCTAAGCCCTAACAGTTTTAGCACTCCAATGGCAACATCCATGAATTGTCTTCAAAATCATCAGAAACAATCATCTAACTATCCCTAACCATTCTAACCTAATAATTCTCTAACATGCTAACTAAATCAACCAATTCGAAGGGAAACACCAACCTGGTTTGATGATGAAAACAGAGGCAGAATCCTTTAGATCCAAGGCTTGCAATGCTTGGGACTTGATCAACAAACTTGATTCTTGGTTCTGTATGCAATACCACTTGCTCAAACCTCTTGGATTCTTGTAACCACTTCTTCTTGCACTTTGGATGATGAAGTTGGATAGCACGATTTCTTCCTCAATTCAACCAGATTCTGATGGAAATTTGATCCTTGAATGATCTAGATGATGATGGGATTAAGAACTTTGGAAATTGATGGAGATTTGATGGAGTTTGAAATGGATTTGCAAAATGGAAGAATGAGATGAAACTATGTGTTATGAACAAAATGAGTCACCAACCCTTGAATGAAACCTCTCAATTCAATATATAGATGAAATTAGAAAGCTCTAGAACTTTGTAGAATCTTCTTGTGCACACTTTCCTTGGATTTTGATTATGTTAACTTCATACATAAGTAACCAAGCATAACTTCCAAAGTTTGAACCAAACTCAAAAATCCACTTTTGCCAATGTTCTTAAAACATTTTTTCCAATCAAAATGACCTATAATTTCATCCCATTTGGCCAAATTATGAAAAATCTCAATTTTAGGTCACTTTTATTCATTAAATTCCCTTTTTAAATGACCAAATTTGAAACCTTGAGCTATGAGCCTTTCCAAACTTTCATGACCACTTTTATAGACTCAAAATGTCATTTGGAGCAAGTTTGATGTTGTGAAGTTTTCCATTTGAAGCTTCCTTGTATGAGTTTTGGGCATAGGCTTGAAATGACCTGTAATTCTCAGATGACCAAAATACCCTTTGCTTGCCAAGACCATAAGTAGAGTTCCACAAATCATATGAAGGCATACCATACCTTTATAGAAAGCTAAGACAATGAGGAACAACTAGTATGTTGACCATAAATCCATTTGAAATCTCCTTGAGGGGTAAAGGTTGCTTGGAAGACAAGTAACTTTCACAGACAAAATTTCAGATACCTCAGATGACCTGTAATTTGCCAGGACCATAACTTGAGTTCTATAAATCTCCTTGATGTCTTCCACCACTCAAATTAAAGGTCTTGAGATTCTCTACAAGTTTCATGTTGGCCAAGGATCCATTTGAAGCTTTCATTTTGACTTATCTTGCTTGGAAGTTTGACCTAAATCAGGGGATTTTACACAGAAACCCTAATTTAGAAACTCCTCTTCTCCTTGATTTCTCTTGATTTCTTCTTAGCACAACACCATATCCTTATCCACATTTCAAATGATGAACCCCACATCTCTCCAATAGACCTTAATGCCTTTCAATCAATCATTTGACCTAGGGTTGACCCAGATGAAACCCTAGTTGACTGTCTTCAACTGCAGCTCTTGCAATCTCATCAATGACTTGTCTCACTTTCAAAATGACTCTCTATGTCCTCCATGATGTCTATATACCCTCCATGCCTTTAATTCACAGCTCACACCTTCTTTGGTGATCTTCAAATACACTCAAGATAGGAGAGAGACCCACTGCTTGATCTACTGACTTCTTAGATTTCAACTTCTTTCTGATGACTTGGATATGCTTGAATTTGAATAATAACCTCTTGATAGGCTCATAGAGATGAGAACAGTACTTGGTCCCTTGTTGGATGACTTGCTATGCTATGTTATGCAAATGATTAGACTATGTACATGACTCTATATGTAAATGCTAATGCAATTGAAACATAAACCAAGTGAAGTAGGTTGAGCAAATTTTAGGGTGCAACAATTAGGTTTCAACCCCTTTCTCTTTAACTCATCCACAAGCTTCAAAACCTTGTCAAGCTCTCCAATTTTACAATATCCACTAATAACAACACCATAACTAACAACATCAGGAAAATTCCCTCTATGCTCCATTTGTACATGCAGGTTATGTGCTTCTTTCACCTTCCCCAATTGACAGAGACAATGAAGAACAATGTTATACGAAACATTATTCCAACAAACACCCAATTCAGGAAATTCTTCAAACACCTTAACTGCAATCTTAATCCCCTCAAAATTGCAAGACAATCTAGACAGAAACAAATTACAAGAATCTACACTCACAACAACACCATATCCTAACAACTTATGGAAAAGTTTCTCAGCTTGTAAAACAAACCCAGTTTCTACCAACACTTGAAAGAACACATCAAAAACAAGAGGATGTGAGCCCCAATCTTTATAAGTATATATCAACCTCTCAGAAAAAACATCAAAAGACTTGGAAACATCCAACCGCGGCGTAGCCCAGAACTCAAAAACAAGTCTTTTAGCAGTTTCGATGTCGTTTGATGCAACAGCTATATGAACAACAATGCAAAGTGATTCCAAAGTGGGGTGAAGTTGTTGTTGTGAACGGGATTTTACCCAGTTGAAGAGGTTTAAGACGAGTTGGTAATCGTCTTTTATGTTGATGAGAACCCAAATAAAATGACTTGGTTTGAAGCGTGATTCGTAAGGTTTAAGAACACGGCGGAAGGGTTCTAAACGGCGTCGTTTGATGGTTGTAGTGATGTGGCGGATGAGGTCGGTGTCTGTGACGGAAGGGTTTCGTGGAGAGTAGTCGGGAAAAGGGCGGGGAGTTGTTGAGAAGCAGGCGGCGGCGGTGGCAGAGGGAAAATGATATTGATGGAAACGGTGGAGATAGGTGATGATGGATGTTCTTCTCTTCATGTGTTGTGTGGAACAGTAAAACCCATCACCGCGTTAAGGATGGTGTTTCGTTGAAATTGTGAGGATGTTTTTAATCTTCATTTTCACAATTTGCGTGCGGCGATGCGTGGTGCGGCAGTTATTGATGAACGGCTGAAGAATTGAACGGTGTTTGGGGGAGAAAGAGTGACCAAGGCCCCAGCACAAACCCACCCGAAAGGCTCCAAACTAATAATTAATTAAATCAATTCTAAATTCTCATTGGAATTAATATTTAACCAACATAATGCTATATCTATGATGTCACATGAGAATTTAGAATTAATTTGTAACCAACATAATGTTATATCTATGATGTCACATGACATTCATATATGAAGTAAATATATTTTGCCTTAATCACATTTACCTTTTGAGCCTTGTATTTTATTTTAGAGGTTACAAGGAAAATTTTACCTTGTAGATTTACCTTTATCTTTATATGCCTATCTTTTATAAAAAATATCAATTTTTTTTATATTTTAAATTAATTTTTCATTTTATTTTTTAAATATTTTTTAAATTTTATTTTACATATGAAAGACTTTGCAAAAGAGTTTTGATACTTATTTTGTATATTTTTTTTATTTTTTTTTATATCAGAAGACTTTGCAAAAGAGTTCTAGTAATCAATTTTTGTTTATCAGAAGACTTTGCAAAAGTGTTCTGATAGTCATTTTTAAAAATTTTATTTTTAAAACAAAATTCTGTACCGGAAGATTTTACAAAAGAGTTTTGGTATTCATTTTAAAACTTTTTTTATATATCGGTAGACTTTGTAAAAGAGTTTCGGTAGTCATTTTTTGTGTACCGGAAAGACTTTGCAAAAGAGTTTCTGCAGTAATTATTTAAAACATTTTTTAATTTTTATTTTGTGTACCGGAAGACTTTGCAAAACAGTTCCGGTAATCAATTTTTGTCTACCGGAAGACTTTGCAAAAAAGTTCCGATAATTAATTTTTGTGTACCGGAAGACTTTGGAAAAGAGTCCTAGTAGTCAATTTTATGTACCGAAAGACCTTGTAAAAGAGTTGTGGTAGTAAGTTTTTATAATATTTTTTAATATTTAATAAATTATTTATAGGAGGACATTTTGGTCATAAAGAATATAATGTAGGGGTAGCAGAATAACTGATAAGGTATGAGATAAAATTTCTGGTTATGAGTTAGAAAAGGCCATATAGGTCACATAGAGGTCGGTTCATTAATAATTTAACTTGCATACAACATGGAGGGTCAAATAAGGCAACAAGCGGGTGTTGGCTGGAAATTTCGACGTCAAACTTTGTTTAAGAATAATAAATAAAAATCAAGTATTTCTTGAGTTGTTGTTGAATTCGACAGGAGTTTGTGCAAGAAGCCTAGTCGAAAAGGTCTTCATAGGAGGACATGTTAAAAAGACACTTAAAAATATTTTCTAAGTTTGAATAGTAACTTCGACAAAGGGTGTATGTGGCTCTCATTCGACAGAAGTTTTGAAATTCAAAATACGGATAATAATTGTTGCAACTGCGAAAAGGGCCGGCGGAAACAAACTGAAGATTCGCCACCGAACGTTATTTATCTCAGAGAGATGGAAAGGAAATGATCAAAGAAAACCTAAAAGAACGGAAAAAGACAAGGTCATCGCAACCAAATCTTGGGTTCGGGAGTCGGTTACGCAAAGGGAAGGTATGAGCACCCCTCACGTCCGTTGTACTCATTGGGATCCACGCTTGTTGTATATCAAAAGGGGTGAGTTATCTAAAAGCTACTGCTAAACGGAAACGAGAACAAAAGAAAAAGAAAGAGACTCGATAGGACATCGTCGCCCTATGCCTACGTATTCCCTCGTGTAATGAAAAAGTCATAGTCAACGTAGTTCGGAAAACTACAGGTGATGGGGGGAAGGTTGCTCGCCAAGACATCATTGTCTTGTGCCTACGTATCCTCATCTGGTATGAGAAATCAGAGCAAACTTAGTTCGGGCAATGAAACCACAGATTAGTTAAGTGTTTTTTATGAGCGACGATAAGTTTCCATTTCAGTAGTTAGGGTCGACGCCTATTTGCGATAGAATGGAAAAGTAACGTACTATTTTCTGAAAATGATTTAAGAACAATCCCGAAGGATAAAAATGTTTAAATTTGGTTTGTGAGTTTTAATAAAGTGAATTGAGTATGTTTGAGATTCCCGTTGCATTAAAGACTATGACATAGGAGCGAATGCGTTGCATATCTCCCAAAGGGCATACACTAAACACTCTAGACAAGTGAGGAGAAACCCCTCACTCTTCATTCCCACATACTTAAGGCTCGTGGCGCACAACGTTCATCATTATTTATTAAGTGTCTTAAGATTGTTTGAGATGAGAAGAGAAGACACAAAAGAAAACACTAAAGGGAAACTGAAAACCCTAATGTTGTCATACAAAATGGTCCTAAGGTTAGGATGAAAATGAAGTCTACCTAATGTTATTATACAAATGATGGACCTTAAATTGAGATGAAAGGGACTATCCTAAATGTTATCATGCAAAGGATTGAAAGTCTAATGTCTCTCATACTCTCATCTTAAACAGAGGGACTGGGAATCCTAAGGGATCATGTAAGCAAGCACAAGTAAACACCAACCAATTCAATCACAATGAAAACAAGAATGAAACTTAAACAAGTTCCAAAAAAAAAAGATGAAGAAAGAAGAAGAATGGATAAATAAAAAGTCATTATCAAACCAAGATGAAGACAAAGAGCACATTCATTTCAATCTCAAGCAAAGCAAGCATCATCAAGTCAACATCAAGCAAACATTCACCATCACAAAGCAACATAAAATGAAGTCAAATGGCACAAGAAACATGGTACGACAGTAAACACAACATATTATACACAAGTCATATCAATGATCAAAGAGAGGGCACTAGGAAACAAGACATGCACACCATCCATACACAAGTCAACATCATATCAAACAAACATACATACAAACAAACATACATACAAACAATCCCCAAAGGAAAAACATATGAATAAGACATGAGCATAAGAAGATATCACAACATCAACATGATCAACAAGTTGGTAACCAATCATGAGCACACAAGAGATCATACAAGTTGAAACCAAACATACATTAAGAAGAATCAAACATCAAAACCATCACAAAAGAGGAACAACCATCAAACAAACACCAAAGTCTCAAATGACTTGAGGAAAAACAGAAAGGCACTCAATCATGGATAAAAAACAATATCACATCAATTTGCAATTTTAAAATCAATTAAAAAAATCAAATGAAAAAGGAAAATAAAACCTAAAAAAAGAAATAAAATGGTTAGACCAAAAACAAAAATCCAAGAACATCACCATAGATCAATAACGATCATAGGATCATGTGCTAATTTCCTCATAATTTTAAATGGCTTTAAAATTTTTTTAAACCAATTAAATCAAAAATACATGGAAAATAGCAAAAATAGAAATTAAAAACCAAGAAAAACATCATAGTTTCAAAACCATCATAGAATCCTATAATATTTTTCTCATAATCCTAAAATGCTTAAAAACAATTTTAAACAAATTAAAATTGGCTCAAACAAATTAAAATTCAAGAAAAATAGCAAACTAAAAAATAAAAATGCACAAAAATGAAAATCAGAAAGAGGAAAATAAAAGGAAATTTTAGAAAATATTTTGGTATTTTTCTGATTAAAAATGAATTTTCTATGAATTTCTGAAAATAAAATAAATTTAAAAACAAATTAGAAAAAGAAAATAAAACATAAAAAACAAGATTCATTGGATCTGAGCTCATTAAATGACGTGGCTAATTCAATGATCCAAAAGCGTGCATCCACGGTGGATCTGAGTCAACCTCATCATTTTCAACCAGCGAAGGTCAAACACACCAGATTAGAACAAGTTGCACGATGGACGGTGAGATCATCATCTTCAACCTCTAGCCACTTGAAAATCTCAGAGAATTGCAAAAATTTGAAGGTCCATCAAACCATAACCGTTGGAGCTCATGGTGGTTTCATCTTATGCGTCCTTTTAAGACAATCTCAACCATATCATCGCGCCATATTTCTTTAAACCATAGCTCACTCGATTTAAAAAAAAACAAAAGAAAAAGCAAACACGGATTTGAAAATTGAACATCAAAACTCAACCAAAACCAAAATCTAACAATTTTAACAGCATCAACACATCAAGGACTACATCTTAGTGACAAATTGAAATGGTTAAGAATTGTACTTGTTGAAGTTCAACTTCAGAGCTCTGAAAATGGAGTCCTCAAGCTTGATTCAGGCCACGATCCCTCAAGTTCTTGAGCTAGTTAGCTTCACTGAATGTTGGTGAAGCTAACTGAAGGGAGAATTTGAGTGTTTAGGGTGTGGAAATGAAAATTCAAAGTTCAAGCTTAAGAGTTCAAATGGGATATCAGCAGGGTGATTCTGGATATCAAAGCTTGTGAAAATAAGTGGAATGAGTCCCTTATTTATAGGATAAGCTTTCTGAATGTTGAGGAAGTGTGAATGATGCAAATTGAGGTGAATTTATGCACACCTGCAACACGAGCAAAGTGTGACTTGAAAACTGTCAAAACTCACTCAAAACTTGTGTTTCAAGGCTCTAATCAACCCAGACAAGTTTGTTAATCATGTTTAGATTGAACTCGTGGCTTAATTTGGTAATTAGAGACTAATTCAAATAAATTCAGTTCTAACTTGAAGTGGATTTTCATCTTTGAAATTCAAATTTTGCCACCATGGTTCTCACAATGTAGGAGGCTTTTTGAGACGATTCTTCTTGCATTTGATAGAGGATGATGCAATATTTACAATTTGAAAGGAAAGTATTGATTTGGCAATCTGCGTTGAGAGATATAATCCTTCAAAGTAGCTTGCATAAAAAGGTCCAAAATTGCAAAACACTTAGAAAATTTTCAAGTCTTTTAGGGACCAAAACATGACCTATAATATTTTGATAAAATCCAAGGCC